GTTAAGACACATTCCCACAGCGGAGAATGTCATAATTTGACGCTTCTCTGATGGTCGATTGATCACTACTCATCTTGTTTGAGACAACTGACAATTTGTGTAGCGCATCTATCGGAAGTTTTACGTGATTCATGAATTCCGAAAATGTGCTCGCAATAATTAAGAACTCATACTCTGTAGTTTTGTTGTCGCCCACGTCAGAGCGTTCAGGTCGTTGTCAATATAAATCAACTGTAACTCACTTCTTGCACGCAGTCGAGGCACTTTGTGATCTGTCAGCGTCCATTTTAAATTTATCAAGCCCTAAATGAATTATTTGTGGGCGCAGGCGAAGGAGTTAAAAGGGACCAGCGCAGGTGTTTCTGCGGATGGAGCGGTAAAATCTGAGCATTAGCTCCGACAAACGTTTGCTGACTGCACGGACGTCAACACTGCTTACTTAGGCGGGTCTCGGCTGATACGACTTTTGTACATTTTTCTCTGGACATATCTCTTAAAAGTGTTCCCTTTTCGTCGCCCATATTTCACAAAAGAACCTCACGATTAGGACCACGCATTTTTCTGGCCCTTCCTCAAATTTTTAAATTGTTAATATTTTAGAGCGGGGGTTCGTTCAAGAGACCACTTTTTTCACAATAGATGTTTGTGCCGTCGGTATAATACTAGTTACTCCAAATTCCATTCCTTTTTACTATTTTCATGATCAATGTTTCTTTTTCTAAACACACTTTGTCTATTTCTACATTTTTTTTTCGCGAATTAAATGACATTTCACTATTTGAAATTCACAAATAGAACTAACGTTCGCGCACCCGGCATGGAGACAGGATGTCTCGCATGCTGTCTATCTGCTACACCATTTCCAGGGGGAATGGTCGACAAAAAAATTCAAGTAAAACTAAGTATTTTTTGTACACGGATCCTATCTTAACTGACATAGTATAAGATCCAATGCCCTTATAATTGGAGTATCGTGCGACACAAGGCGTATTTTACGATTTTATGATCATGTCACATCCGACGGACTTTCAACATAACGCGAATTATGGCGGAATATTTTTTTTTCCAAGTCGTTTAATTTTCTCAAAGAGCTAACTACGAAATACACCTTCATCTCTTTCTACCTTTGCATATATGATGCACCTAAGGTTTCCCAGCTAGTATCTACAACTAATCGAGTCACTACTTTTTCGTCGATATTTTCAGTGTATTAAAACTGAAGGATTACGCAAATGTTTCTTTAACACTAGAAATACCGCTTAACATTCCTTAGACAAAACAAAACACATTTCTCTTTTTAACAATGTCGTTAATTGTAGTGTAATTTTCACTTTTTTTTTTATAAATTTCCTATAATGGAATGTGGGACCCAGAAATTATTTTAATTTTTTGGCTCTCGACGGTCTCTTTAACTCCAACGCTACGCTTAATTTTGTTTAGAAGGGCTTAATTCACTTTTCATTAACTTCCTTTACCGATTCACAACCAAAGGTACACTTCAAAGTTTCGATATCAAGTTGACCTCCTTGAACATATTTAGTCCATTCTTCAAAGCATTACAGAAATCTTCAAAGGTTTCCCCATACACTAACACGTGATCTATGGCGAACACAAAAATCTATGGCGTTTCTATACTTAATATCAGTTAAAACTATATGCATCGATTTCTGAAATTTGGCCTGACTCATCTTCACCCGAACGGAGGAATGCAAAATGCTTATACATAATTCCGAAGAGGTTACAAATGTAATCTTCGGTTTATCCTTTTTTGTTACTTACCATCTGTCAGTACCCCGGCAACAAGTTCAAGCTAGCTAAATATTTAGATATACTTAAATACATTCTTAAATTTTCAATTCTTGGTCTAAACCAATTAGGAATTTTGAAAGTTACTTCAGATTCGTATCCTATGATATGAATCTGAAATAACTTTCAAAACTCCTAAGTGTCATCTGGCCTTTTCACTAATACTACCCGAAATACATAAGAATATACCTTCATTGTCAAGTACTTGTTGTACCCATTTTTTTTATAATCATGTATTGTCTCATCGACACTACGGTGGCTTATGGATAAATACGTCATCTTGTGTTTCAATTTTCATTTCAAAACCTGAATATTTGCCCAATTACAAATTCTCAAACGTGTGAAACCATCGAAACATTCCGACAAAATCCATTGTAGTTTCCTTCGCTGATAAATGCACAAATCTTTATTTACATTCAGTCACCTACCTTCAACTGCTTCTATGGCACAGAAATCAGGCCTAGGTCACACACCTATGGCTATTCTTTATGCTTATCGATTAATTCTTCGAACTATTTCATGACGTCTGACGCTAACTTTTGCACTGTATGCGTAGGCGTGTGAGACACAAACGGTACACACAGTCTTTTCTTACTGAAAACAAGTTTATTCTCATTATAATGTAATATAACGGCATTTGACGTCATAAATTCCGTCTTCAAAACCCGATCTAAATGCAAATCTTTCAGAACATAAAACGTGTCCTTAAACTTAGTTTGTTTGACATACAATTCTACCGTCGCATGCCGGATAAATTTCAAAATGAACCCATATACCTTTTTCAACACTACATGGGATTTCGAGAGTTTATTAATCTTATTAATGTCTAAAACATTCGCGACAATGGAGCTCATATCAGTCATAGAATAAAATAAAGCTTGCAAATTACCTTTTTAAAGCGTAACTTTTACGTAAGTACTGTCTCTGCTTGATTCACGGGTGGATTTTTCGCATAGCGGCCTCGAAGTTGATTCACTGCTCCTGCCCTCTTGCACTTCCCTGGTTGCTCGACGGAAGTCGCGCTGCGTCCTCCCGGTCTCGTTTATGTCAATCTTGAGTTGCCGGTGCTGCGTTCTGTCGCGTCCGACCGTGGTGGCCTTATCTCGATCGTGTCGTTGCCCGTCGAATGTTCTTTAGCAGCTTCCTTACTTCCTCTACAATGACAGTTCGAAGTTAGCTTCCCGATTTTCTAAGTCGATTTGCTTACAATTCATGATTGTTAATTTCATGTCCGCGAATGAACTACAATCTCGCCCTGCAAATAGAGGCTTGATGATTGCTTTTAATCCTTACAAAATGGTAATAATATTTTTTTGTTTGTCATCAACTCAATATTTGTCATCGTATGTTCTTCCGTGATTTTCGCTTTTGCAGCCAACCTTTTCAATCTTTAAAAATATTCTGACAGATATCATATCAACAGCATCTTCTTGTCTATTGTTGTAGAAAAGTAGTGCGTAATTTATTCTGCACTTAAACTCCTCCGTGACTCTATAATGTCTCCATACGTCATTTCTGCGCTTTCAATGGTTTTTTAAATATTTGGCTGGACTATATGCAGACTTAAGCTCGCTTTTTTCTGTTGATTGCTCCAACTATTCAACAAGTCCAGCGTCACATAGTTGTTAAAAAAATAGTCGAGACCTCGTTGGATGAGCCTTGAAAATCAGCTGCCATTTTTATGTCACTTTTTCTTCTTCTATAATCTTATTCGTGTGTTTAGTCAGTGTGTCTCCACCAGTGTAGTATGGGTGTAGTTCAAGAGGTTTCACTTTTCTGGTACTCAGAATCTTCAGTTAACGAGCGATATTCGTTTACTTTTCAAATATCGGCTATGTTGGTGGGTATGCCTCCAATACGATACCAATTTCATTCAAAAACGAAAGTACGTTTTTATTACTCTCTGAGTCCATGTCCTTTTCTAGACTCAACGCGTCTATCTCTCTACTTTTTTTACCGAACAGTATAACATTCGATAACGTGCTGGTGACTTCTCTGAAGTGGCGTGTGTCCATGGTCGGCGGTGACAACCTATTTTCTTGAGAGTCGCATGCTTGTTTGCTATTAGAAAATGCTATAAAAAAGTATGTATTTATTTATAAACTTATGCTAACTTCCCAGAAAGGTAGGCAGAGATTTTCATCTTTACATATTACAATGTATAGAAAATTATGCGTCGCTATAGATATGAAATATTTTTCGGAGACGGATTTTTATTATCCATTGACACATTATCAACAAAGTTTTGTTAATTAATTTACTATCGTGTTTTTATTTATTTGAGGTATTTATATTTGTTATTGAACGTATTTCGAATTTAGAATCAAACCAGTCAATCAGTATCCACAAGATTTACTCGTATGAGTAGGTGATTAGATTGCTGCTATTGACAATTGGATATTGCGATTATTTAAAAAACATGGAAACAAGCTTAGTTCAGAATATTTTTTGTTGACTCTTTTTATAAAACTGTACTACTGTGATTTGTTTTTCATTCAACGACATTCCACAGAAAGCAGGGCAAGAAATACTTGTTTATTTCTCAAATTAGTATATGGAAAGCTAACCCTAATTTTATTCAGCAAATTTTTTACATAATTTCATACCATCTTATACGAGACACCTGAATGTATAACTTCATTGAAATCAATGAAAAAGTGGCGGGTTTATAAAGCTTTGACGCACGAACGGATGGTCCAACGGAACAATAAATGTTCTTTTATTGCCTTAAGCTACGGAAACCTAAAAATGGTTGAAATTATTACATTGATTTGCAAATGGTTTTTGTTTGAAAAAGTAAGATCAAACGAGTGTTAAAAGCTATTGTATGCCACATCAAAACACAGTTTCCACTTTGATTGTGGTTCAATGAAAAATTTTCTCCTCTTTCTCGTTTATCGCAACAATGTCCGAAGAAATAATCGATGAAAAATATATATTTAGCGTTTTAGTATGGTATCATCAAAGTCATTCAAATGGAAATTTAAACATTTCTGCAAAGGTGATTTGTGATATTGAAAATTGTAGCGTCCCGCTCTTTGTTTAAAATTTAAAACGTGCGTCGTACAAAAAACAACGGTCACCCGGCAGTCGGGCAACGCGTGTCGCACGAAATACGTGCGCGGGTATTAAACGCGCTTGTTGCCTCTAGATCGTCGTTTTCTTTACAACGCTCTGAGTTTGCCTACAAATGGCGCCCAACGTGGGACTCGAACCCACGACCACGAAACTAAAACTCTCATGCTCTACATACTGAGTTAACCGGACAGTCAGGTTTTATAACACCTCTCTCTTCGCAGCCATAACAAGTGATGGTTTCCTTGTTATTATCATGCGGAAGCGGCGTAGAAGATGATAATTGTTTAGACAGCATACGGCATTCCTCTTTGGAGTGGCCGTATTTACGACACTAGTTACATTTTATCCATACCTTGATAACATTTTGCGTCTTACGGTTCTTCTACTCGCTAGACGCTTTTGGCCGACCGGCGTCGGGCGCGTAGCGTCGGCGGCTGCAAGTTCCGATGAACTAGCTGGTGGACATCGTCGTCGACAGCGACTTCTCATCAGCTGTTCGGGCGGCGGTGTCGAACGATTCCGTGGGCGTCTGCGTTTGCGTGCTAATAGTCAATTCATTATAAATTAGCACGCTCTATCTGTCGGCTATCTATGAGTTGAACGGAATGGTTACATTATTTGACCCGTCATGGATGGAGTCTTCGATGTCCCGAGCGTGGAGTAGCAAATTATCAAACAGGATAAGTGCATCGTGTGGTAGCGGTTTCCTTATACGTTTAGGCTACCTACGGTATCAATCTCCGCTTCGTCGGTAATATCACTTGGAAATGAAAACAAACATAATTTTATTCAACAGTGACAGCGAAGATCTGCAATTAGTTGTAACTAAGTCTGCTAAAAAAGTTTATAAGGGTGTGCCATGACTCTCGTATCAATGCATACATGGGTGTTGAAAGAAATTATCATAGGGTGAAACAAATACACTCTTCCCCGGAATGGATCGAATGATATCTGATTATGTCGAAAATTGCGCGTAATATCATAAATTCAAACCGCCCACGAAAAACCAGCGGAGTTATTGCAGACATCCTAGGAGAAGTAATTGGTAAATACCACGTCAGGGACATCGCTATGTTTATTTCTCGTGAAGTTGTCGCTCAGCTATGTGTGTCCATCGTATCGAAACGTAAACGCGGACAACTACGAAAAGTTGTGGCTCTCAAGTAGTGATCGTTCTATCGCGAGGTTGGTTGATCAGGACTTAGGGGGCTATGTAAGCCTTCGCTAGTTGTTTAAAGTTTAAAACCCGAGTCCAACAAAAAACAACGGCCTCCCGGCAGTCGGGCTACGCGTGTCGCACGATGTGTGCGAGCACTAAACGTGCTTATTACCTCTATGCTGTCGTTTTGTTTAATAACCATCTCAATTAGCCTACAAAATGGGAACAAAAACAACAGATCAACGAATAAGGCCTCATCGGTGCGAAGCGAACAACAAACGGTAATGGTAAATATATTTTCCTATTAAAAAGTTTATAGAAATGAAAACATTAAAAAGGCACAAGTGTTACAAAGTGGAGACGAATACGTGCCGGGACTAAGTTGTGTTAAAGTGGTTTAGGTGCCTAACATACGACAGACAGAGGTGAGCACGTGCCGAGGCCTAAACGTTCTTATTGTAGATACTTAAGTTTGACGATTCAAACTTTACCTTCCCTATGCTTAGCTATTCATAAACATTTCTACTGGACTGAAACGATTGTAGTAAATAAAACATACGTTTAAGAAGAAAGTTATATTTGGTTCGAATAATTCAAAGCTTCAAAATATTTGCTGTCGCCATGTATTGTCAAATTTTTTTCTTATTAAGGTCTCTACTAATACATATCAATAATGAAGGCATTTATTTGTATATTAATACACTTATTGACAACCGCAATATAGCTGGTTAAAGATTAAGCTTCACAATATAAATACATGTTGAACACAATAATTTAGATGTGATATCACCGCAATCAACATATACTTTTGAATTGAATTCGAATCCAGAAATGGAATTAAAATAGGCGTCGTTATTGAGATTAGGATTAAGATTGGAATCGATGCTAGCTTCAGAACCGAAATTAAGAATCAATTGGATTTACTCGTATGCGGAGGCAGCCGCTGAGTCGTTAAGTTTTAATTAAATTCGGAGCTTGTTTTTGAAAAAGCGAGTCGAATTGAATATGATTAAGTTATGAAATAAAACTGTATACGTATATTTACTATAAACGTAAGAAAAATGTAACATTTATTAAAGGAGCTCACTCCCCCCTCCATCACCCCATTAACCCTTTATTGGAATTTTTCCTTTGTTAGCTCATTCTCATATGCTATTCCTATTTAAAAGACCGGCACTGGAGCTACCTGCACTGCGATAGTGCAGGTACCTCCTATGCGGCGGCGAGCGCCCATGGATAGCGGTGACCTCTCTCTCTGGCGGTTCTTCTGCTCATTAGTCCCTCGAAAATGCTATAAAAAGCTTTTCCAAAAAAAAAAACTATCTTAGATCTATCCTAACAACCCATCACGGGTTATTCGTTCATGAACGAACAACCCGTGATGGGTTGTTCGTTCATGAATTTCTCCAAGAACACAGAAAACTTTACGAAAAAATCAGTAAATTAGAAGAACGACTTTAAACACGAACAACTGCTGCTTCTCAACCAGAATCCCAGATGTAAGCGAATACATAAATCACATAGCTCTAAAATGTTAATCAGCTTTACTGACTGACGAATGACATTGCAGGTATTCCGAGTTCAATCCATTGTTGTATTATTGTAACTCGATGTAATTCTATTTGTTGTTGCCAAGTATTTAAATTTTATTTTCTTTAACTCGTCAGATCACCTGTTAAAAGTAATATTGATGTAAATAAGACACTGACAGTCAATTTTGTAAAACATTCCACGATGACAGCTTAAATAGCACGAGCGCACGCAGACGCGCAGCACACTCGGTCATCTATCACCGCGCCCGCCGCGCCCGCCGCGACGCCAGCGGACAAAATATGTTTTTCGCTGAACGACACGATCGTGTCATTTATATTGCATCAATCTTTTAGAAATATGCCTTTTTAAAAAACAATTAACACGTTGCGGAAATTGAAAAAAGTAACTCTATTATTGTTTCTGGTTTAGTGAACAGGTGGTCGCTCGTTCCAGAAGCAAAAGGTCACAGACTCGATATCTAATTGTAGTCGAAATATTCATTTTCCAATCGTGTCGTCTCCTTTGGATATGCGTATTGCATCTATAGAAATTTAACGGAAGACTCTTTTGTTTTTCGAATAATGAGTTAACGTTCATCCATCTAGTGCATTACGAGGTTCGTATTCTGATTGTCTACACAATTTTCTAAGTACTATACTGATTAAATATATCAGTTCATGATAAACGAAATAACGATAGCGAAACATCGCGATAAAACACGCACGCGCGCTAACGTTAGAGCCTTCAAAAGTATAAATATGATTTCTCTATCATGAGAAGGCTCGAGCAGCAGAACGATTCTATAAGCTTAAAACGATTCAGTAGGTATTGTTATAACGTCAAAATTGCTTTAGTGTAAAAATATTTTCAGTCGCGCGACTCCAGTTGACGTAATTTCACGTCATAACGATACCGATCCCATTGTTTTAGGTTTACAGAATTGGCCGCGGCTCAGCGACTACAATCTGCTACCGGATTTTTAGGCTAAGCCCACGCTCGGCGAGCGGTAATATACAATACGTTGGATGGGTTGCACGGATATCTCTATCGTGATTTTGTTGTTTTGATGCAATATCTAGTATTTTATTATCAACTATATACGTCTTCAATGTCAAAAAAATGCTCCAGAGAATAGAACCTAGGCTTGAAATAACACGATCGAATTTAGAAGATGGAGATATCATGTGATAGGCGGTCTGGCGGTCGCCAACTTGCCCGGTAAGGATTTTTATGGAAAGCACCGTAAAACGAGGTAGTATCATTAAACATTGTACCTTTTTGTCAAAGTAAGTTTGCCTTTGTTTGTAAAAGGAGCTTGCTCCGCTCTTTAATGCAAAGACCGCTGCGATAAAAGGAATTATTTTTGAATCCCATAAATTTTCTTTTTATATTTTTTCTTGTGAGTTAAGGTAATTATTCTAATCCGCATAAACGTGCGGATTTGCTTATTTAAAGAAATTTGCTTTATATGTGTCGTTTAATCATGTTTTGTATATGAAATATGATTTTTGGAATCCACTTAATATTTCAGTTTCAAAAAGCTACACCGAGGTTTTCTTTTTATTTACAATTAAAACCGAGTATTTCTTTTGTGAAATGACGAGTAGTGTTTCCCTAGTTACATTCGAAAACGTGAAGTCCCAGGCCGACGGTAATGAAGGTTCCACTTTTGTTGTTACGTTTTGTTTTGTTACACTTACGCAAAGAGTAATTTAGCGAAAATGAAAAATACAGTTGTGATGTTTTTATGCCTTGTCGCTTATTTAATTTTAGTGTAAGAAGAAAAAAATATTTCAATTATTGATGTATTATTCAGATACTGAAAGAACAACATTTTGAACAATGTACGTAATAATTCTGTACCGGTGTTAATTTATTGTTTTTTTTTACAGAATTTGGATAGGGTTTTAAAAAAAAGGTAATCTATATAGAATAAATTAATACCTATTATTCACATATTAAAAGGCTTACTAAAACTGAAACAATTGATTTATATGGTTCCGTACCATAAAAGGAAATCTTACAGGATCACTTCGTTTTCCGTCCTTCTATTTGTCCGTCTATCTGTCAAGATTTCTTTTATCACGAACCGTGGAGATATAAAGTTGTAATTAATATTAAATACTTATGTCTACTGTCTTAAGAGACGTAAAAATTAAGTATTTAAATTAACTCACTAAAAAAAGACGGTCATTTATGTCGTATAATGACAATTGCGATTACTTCTCATTGACTTAGAATGGAGAAATCTGGTAAGAAGCGAGGTGAACAACAGTAAATGAAAAATATGAAAATGGTTAATTTGCAGTCTTATCACTTAACAAAAATATTATCATTACTAATTGGCATTTGCAGCATAAGTATGGATCTTGACTTGATTGATTTGTGGAAAAACATTTCTTAATAGCCCGCTATGAAAATTTTACATTTTCCGATATTTTTAATATTAAAAATGTTTCCCGAAAATTCTTAGAAAAAATAAAATTTAATTAAGTTT